GGACGGGATACAGTGATTGAAAAATCGACAAAAGTTAGTTTTAAAAACACAGGCTAGGCAAGAGCGGAAGGGCGCTGAAAGTTGTATGGGGTTAGTCAACCTTTGACCAGGGTAAGCGCGGAGCATGAACGAGGTTCTTCTGGGCGCATAGGGTCGGTTTTCGTGACCCGATGGCAGCCACTTTGCTGTTGCTAGCAGGCGCTGGCCCAGTAGCTTGGGGTAGCTCGAGGGAACGAAATCACGCGAAAATGCTTCAGCGTAGTACACACAATGCCCTGAATTCACTGCATGCGAAAGGATGGCGTTGTCAATTCTCCTAGTTTTCCCTTTTGCCAGCCATGCGGGGAGGTGCTCTCGTATTCTTTTGGAAAGGCGCCGACTCGTACGACCAATATAACCTGCTCCACAGGAGCAAGTGAATGAGTAGATGCACATTGAGGCGGTCTGAGGTGGCAGTTTATCCTTGCCTTCTCCGCGTAAAATAGGGTTAGTAGAGAATGATATGCGAACCCTTGCTGCTGGGAAGGTTCCCGAGACAGTTTGCTCAAGGCGTCTTCCTAAGAGTTCACTTTCAGCGTCTCCTTGGAAAGGGAATTTGAGGAACAACGTTTTCTTTTCGGCGGTCAGTGTAGTGGGTTTTGCGGGTCATTTGGCAAGGTTCTTTGCAATGAACCTGTCAGAATACCCGTTTTCGCGAAGCAAGTCCTGGATTTTTCTAAGTTCCTCCTTGATACTATCTGTTGAACACATTTTTCTAGCCCCTTGTGCCAAAAACCTAACTAGATTTCGTTTTTGTTGGAGAGGTACGAAACTAGCGAAGTTTGTGTATTGTCCAAATCAGGTTTTCTTCCGATAGATGCCCCTTCGGATGCTACCGTCAGATCTCCTGTTTAGAGGGACATCTAAGAAAGGAAGCAAACCTCGAGCTACCCTAAGCTACTGCGCCAGCGCCTGCTAGCATCAGCAGAATCGGCCGCCATCAGGTTGCGAAAACCGACCCTATGCGCCCAGAAGAACCTCGTTCAGGCTCCGCGCTTACCCTGGTCAAAGGTTTACTAACCCCATACAACTTTCAGCGTCCTTCCGCACTTGCCTAGCCTGTGTTTTTAAAACTCACTTTTGTCGATTTTTCAATCACTGTACCCCGTCCCATTTAACTATACTGGCCTGATGAGAAGTTATCGAAAGCAACGTACACTCGCCGCCTTCGCTTCTAAATGATGTTAACCTATTTGTTTAGTAAAAGCTTTTTGCTAGACATTAAGACTTATACAACTGTCTTTTCAAAAAACAATTGGTACTTGTACTGCTGCAGTTTTTATAGGAGAATTCGGGAGACTTGTTATAACAAAAATTTACTCCCTAAATTTAGGTTGTCAAAATTTACAGACATGCCAAAAAGACGGAAAAACAATTGTGGTCTCACAATCATAAATACCGCGCAATTTTGAGTTGGAATATGAACTCGCTCAACAGTTTTGTTAAGATGTCCAACTACCAAGGGATTTTTATTGTGAATCGCAATTGCAGGATGACAATTTTTGAAATTCTTGCACATTCCCATGTTTTTGCCAAATATTAGAAAAAATGTACGGAGACCAGTGCGCGAGGGAAGTGAGGCAAATATTGTTACACTTGAGTAGTTACGACATTTCAGCTCTTAAAACGTGAACCAGCACAGGCTAAGAGATGGAGACAGATTAACTTTAATGAAACATGATTCCTAGTCATGCCTTCGATGCCAGAAGGATGCGTGTAATTCAAAAACCATGCATCTGTACGATGCAGGTGAAAACGACTTCACTCGTCGGCGTCTTCATCGCGCTCGAAGTAACAAGTAAGAATCGTGCTGTGTGTATAGTTCCCGAGCGGTATTTAACCACCTTGACACTACAGGGTTAGACAACAAGGCATTCATCGTATTTTGCGACGTCTGGGAGGATACTTTATATGTACATTGTTCAGACATGCCTCGCTGAAAAACGCTCCCTTTTGGGGAAGACATTGCGAAAGAAGGAATTGTGATGCAAGCCGTGCGTTTTTAACTTGGAATCTGAAACACAGCTGCAGTTTCGTCAAGAGACGAAATAACCAAGACGTTTATGGCAAACTGCAGAGGCCGAAACCGCATTTTTGAAAGCTTCGCACGATCCTGCTTTTCTACTAAAAATTAGCTACCATTGCATGGAGACTAGACTGTGAGGCAGGCGGTTCACAGTTTTTACACTCACATCAGTGGAAGGTGCGTTTTGAGGAAGCCAGCACGCTACATACTCCGAACGAAACGCAGACTCGAGAACCGTTAGATCACGTCCCTGCCTACTCAGCATTCCTATTCTCAGGCCATTTTATTGCATGACCAGTATCTGGAAAGACACATGACACGGATTTTAGGGGCGTTTCGTCCATGCTCGCAAACGGCCCTTTGGGTATTTTGCGTCGAAACAGAAAAAAACGTCGACCCTTACCTTCGTGTGAGGCCACGCATAAGAAAACGACGTTCGCAAGGCCGCGTTCATCACATGCATTAATGCGGCCATGGGTGTCACCTTGATGATTATGCAGTCGTACAGCGACTCTCGGCCAACCGCGTAAATCCTTGCAAGATGTCCACTTCCAGCACGGTTGCTCCTGTTTAATCGACTTAGCGTTTTGATTGATTTTTGTTCAGAATTCACAAAAGGGCTTTCAACATTCCCCTAATAGGAACTTTCGTTAGAGTGGAAGGAACCCTGTGAAACAAGGCGACACTTTAGCTTTCAAAACTTCCTAAACCGGACGTGTGTTGTTACCTGGCGTTCGCCCACTTTAGCACAGTTATGTCGTTTCAAACTTCCGCAGAGATTTATCAGATGCTGAGTTGCGGAAATATCCAGAATCAAACTGTACTGTTGTAGAAGCACACCGAGGGATTTGCTCTGCGCGGTTAATCAGGAATACCGCTGATAGTCTATCACAGGTCCAAACAGCCATATTTAGTATTCCCTTATAAATC